GTAGCTGTTTTCGGAGGGGTTGTCAGCAGGAAGCAGTTGAAATATGCAAAGGTCTGCAATTGGAGCTATATATATATTATCTATTCTTATTTTTTTATATCGTTATTATTTTCCAGCTATTTTGAAAAGAACAGGTCTTAGCCCCTTCTAAGATTTATATATATATTTAAGTTATGCGGCTTCCGCCTCAAAGGGAACTGCGCAAAGGAAGGCAGCGCTTTTCCTTTTTGTGTCCCAATATTGTGTTTATAATGGACTGATACTCTTTTTTTTTTGAGAAAATTTACAAAATGATTTTATGTTTATTTTTTTATATTAATCACATTTTAAGTTTTATCACAAAATGAACTTGTATTAACTTTTCCCTATTAGGCAATATTTAATTCATATAATAATTTTTTTTTTTGTAAGCGACAAGTTCTCTATTCTTTGGAAAAATGAAAAAAAATTAGTTTGTGTTAATTTTTCCATATAAGCCAAGATTTAATTATTCGTTTTTTCAGATAAGTCAAATAATTTTGACCCCAACAGACGACATTTAGGTTATATTCAATTATAAATATTTATTGTTATAAAACTTTCTGCAAAAGTGGAAGCTGTAAACCAGCTAACGAATTTCTGCTCAGCAAGCTAAATTAGATATTTTTAGCTATTTTTTAACACTGGTTTCTAGCTAGTTTCTTCGAAACAACAGTTGGGCAACACTGTGCGGCACATACACACACACACACATAGAGAGGCCACTCCAATCAGCCCATGCCCATGGATGGGCATGGTTGTAATTTCCACACTTGTGCTGACACATTCAAAGGGCTTTGGGTTTTATTTATGAATTGAGAAATTGACATCCTGCCGGGGTGGGTTTGGGCTGTGCTGGGTTTCTGCCGTGCTGGTCTTGGGCATGCCCGAGCTCACGGCTCGATTTTTATTGCCGCCAAACAAGAGGCTTAAGCGCACCAGAATCATCATCATCATCATCGCCATCATCATCGTCATTATTATCGTCATCAAATGAACAAATGAATGAAATGAGACTCAAACAGCATGGCACTTGCTGCCACCCTCGCCCCCTCTCAAGCGCCTCTGAAAGCGGATAAATCGAGCGTAAAATATTTCAGCTCGGACTCCTTTGTTATACTTTGCCACTTGTTTTTGCCGTTCAGGCAGGTTGAAGCGATTTGTAGCTGCGCGTTGAGCCTGTAAATGTGTGTCTGTGTGTGTGTGTGTGTGCGCTGAGCTGAGCGGCTGCGGTTGAGATTGAGGTCCTGGCTGCAGTTGTGCAATTTGTTCGTGTGCCTGCTGTGATTTTTCCCATTGAGGGGTTGATTCCTGATGCTGCTTGTCCATCAAATTGAGCGTCACTCAAGTATTCAAGTGTGTGTTGCCTGCTTTTTTTTATATTCTGCAGATACTTCAAAGATTTAATAATGACATAAGAAGAGCTGCCATTAAACCTGGCCAACAGCCATTGAAGTGTGTGTGTGTGTGTGTGTGTGTGTTTGCCTTTGCGATCCTGCTGCCGCAGACAGGTGGCAGGATATCAATGGCTGAGAAAAGGACGAGGTCCGGCACAAATTAGTGGAGCCCGAAAACATTGCCATTGTCTCAGTTGAGTCGTCATTGTTTAGGGCCTTGTCGTCAAAGCAATTCGAGTGTCAAATCTTTTATTTGCCTTTTGCAGATTTCGCAATAAAACTGTGTGCGCCCAAAAGTCGCATCGCCCATCTCCACGTCCATATATATATATTTATATCCTTGGCATATCCTTTTGGGCGGCGTGTTTGTTTGCTAGCAATAAATTTGCTGACAAAAGAAGGATTATTGCTGGCTCATACCGCAGCCCCCTAAGCAGGATGCGACATCCCTGCGATGCCTGACTGGCTGACTGGTTCCTGTCAGCGTGCATTCTTTGGCGTTATTGTTTGCGCATAAGTTAATTGTTCCCCTCCAAAAGCTTAAACGCATCGCTCAACTTGTGCAAACCCCCCGCCCTGCCAGTCCCGTCCCGTCCCGTCCCAGTTCCAGTTCCATGCTGTGCTTAAGCGATGATTAACCGTAGATTGACAGGGGCTGCCGCAGAGGATTCGGCATGGATATGGGTCGTTATACTCAGCCAGCCAAGCCAATGGCTGGGGTGCCGTCAAAAACTCCAAGTGTGAGTAGCTAAGGCAACTGTTGGTGTACTTAGAGTAGTTAATGTGCTTAGGCAAGTGGAAATAGACCATAGGATATCTGTAACCAGGCACTATATTGTTAAACCTATATATATGTTATTTATATACCCTGTAATCGCTGCAAACGGGTATACAAATTATGGTGATGTCGCTCTGCTTACTTTGATCTCAGATATTGTAAGAAGTCTCTATACTATTTCAATAGAAAGAGTTTGGCCATTAGAATCTCTGAGATCGATGAGCATACGTCCTGTCAAAGGACTTCTTCTTCTGCTTGAGCATAAATATATATGATGAAGTTTGGAGTTGTTACCTTTTGTCTCTTCACAAATTCAGCAAAATAGAGATTTATTTATCAGATATGTGAAATTAAAAAATATCAAAGACGTTAATAGATTATGAGAATATTGTTTCTTATTTGTTTATTTATTATACAAGTTTTGTCTTCTTCTAGAAAAAATAAAATATCAAGATATTATTGTAAAAATAAGGCAAACGCCAAAAGCTGTACATCTCGAAATTTTCATTTTTCTAGAAAAAAAAACTTGTATTAGTTTAAATCCATATCTACCTTTTTTTTCATCCTTCCTCTCTTTTTTTGTCTCTTTATCAGCATCCTTTCTCAAACTTTTTAACTATTCTCTCTCTCTTTTTCCCTCTCTATCCCTCTTTTTCCTTCTCTCTCCCTCTTTCTCTCCCTCTCTCTCTCTCTTTCTCTCTCGTTGTCTAACTCTTTCTATCCCTCTCTCTCCCTCTTCAACACCTTAAACGCCTTTCTATGCGATTTTCATATTCTTTATTAATGCCTCTAAATAATGAAATAGTAACAGTATAAGCTATCAATTTTGTCAATTATTTAATACTCTTAAACTAAATTTTAGACTATAGGCTTTAAGGATCGAAGGATCGATCAAATGCCATTGCAGGCATATGACAAATGAACGATGTAGATATCAAACGATATAATAATGGGATTCACTAATGCTGCGTTAAACGAAAACAATTGCAAATTCGATAATGCTTAAAAAATAAACCTAATTTATGTGGGATATTCGTTATTAAAGTCGTTTTAGCTGAATGTATAACTGAAATCTGTCGTTTTCCCTTGCTTTATAGCGCCATTTTCAGCTCTGTTTAGTCATCGGAATAGAACTCGACAATCACATTTGTAATAATTGCCATTAAAGCGGCATCCAAATCAATGGCTTTTGCGAAGCGCTCGTTTATTACTTCTTTGAAATTGAAACTCGGAGTTTGCTTGGATGTCCATCTGAGCTCGTAAAAAGACAAAGGAAATCCGCAATAAATTTACCACAAACTGGATTGCACAACGGCAGCGAGAGCTGCCCCAAACCCAATAAAGCTTGCCTTAGACGAGCACACACAATGCTACACATAGACACGTATACAAAGGGAGGGGGGGGGGGGGGGGGGCGTTACCACGCCCATAACGTTGACTAAAAATCAGTGATTTGTAAGTGTAGCCAAGTGATTTTGATTTTTTTTTTTCGGATAGCGAATGGGATGCGACGGGAAATGGGAATAGGAAAGATGGGTTGAGCAAAAGAAAATAGAATAATGAAAATCATGCAAGGGGAAAGAAACGATATCAATATTGTCCTGTCAGGAGAGGGGGGTGGAGGGGGGGGGGGTGGAGCTGCTAGCCACCATTATTGTTTAGCTGCGATAGAGTGTCTGTATGTGTGTTTGTGTGCCAGCAACTTCCGCAAAACTGAAAACTAATTTGAACAAAGTACAACAAATAAAACTGACTACTGAATGTTTAATTTGAAAAGGGAAGAAAGCGAACGCCAGCAACAACAACAACAACAACAACAACAACAGCAGCAACAATAATGTCTAACAACTAGAGAACAAAAACAGCGAAAATGAAAAAGAGAAATAATGCACACACACACACACACACGCACAGCTGGCATACATACATATACAAAATACCCCCCAATTGTGTTAAGGATGTTGCGAAAATGGCGCATTGGCTGCGACGTGAGACGCGGAACGCGGGTGCGGCGGGGTACTCAAACGAACTGAACTGAGCTGAGCTGAAACGAGAACGAGAACGAGAATGCCCGACATACGGTTAGAAAAACATTCGCACATAAAAATGCTAACATTTGAACGAGAGCGCATACTAGCACAGCTCACACACACACGCACACATAATAAGGCAGTAAGTGTGAGTGTGTGTGTGTGTGTGTGTGAGTGCGGCTGACATAATGAAACATTATTAAGAGCCACGACGTCAACGCAGCAAAAGGTATCTAAATTTGAGAAAATGTTGCCCATCGTCAGCCTGTGGGCGCGCGCGGGTAGCGCGACGGCGGGGCACGCCATGAGTTTTGGCTTCTGCAGTCGCTGGCGTCGACGTCGCCTGCCAATTTGCGTCCGCGCCCGCGTTACACAATGGTTGGAGAGGAAAACACAAATATCACATTTACAGCAAGCAGCACTCCACCATTTTATGTTATTACGTCGCCTGTATGTGTTCGTGTGTGTGTGTATTTGTGCATGTGTGTGTGAATGTGCGCGAGAGCGACTGCCTCGGCCCCTGCCCAGCCCCTGGCTGCTGATTGGGGGTGCGTAGATTGGTTTACAATCTCAGTCATCCCCTGCTGAGAGCAGACGCAAAGCCTATCTCCATCTCGCTCTGCCATGAACAGTTCTGCCGATGCGCTGACGCTGGCGCCGACTGCGCTGCTGATGCTGCTGCCGTTGACGGCAGGAATAACGACAACGACAACGGCTGCTGCGACGGCAGCGACAGCGACGACGACGACGTCGACAGTAGAATCACAGTTATTCGAGATACGAAAACATAGCAGCGCCGACAAAAGCTCATGGAAGCGAGAGCGGCAGCGGTTTTGGATAAATAAATGTTTGAGTTATGTAGAAAAACATTTCGGGCGAGAAGATTTTCGTTTTCGTTGCGATTCAGTTAACATTTGGCAAAAGGATTCCGCCTAAAACAGACAAACCGACGGATGACGCGTCAGACCAAGTCGCAAAGTCGTAACTGTGACAAGTTTCCAACTCAAGTTCAATACAAGCGGATACGTTAAATGCAACGGTAACGGTAACGGAATCGGAATCGGAAGTCACGTTGCACAGTTGAAATTCGTGTTGAGAAATATCAAAATAAATTAAGTGAAAAAAGCGCATTAATCAGTTCCTGAGAAATAGTCAAACAAGTGTTACGTCCTATTCATAAGTTAAGCATTTCATTAGCATAAATAAATACGCTACAAATACAAATACAAATACAAATACAAATACAAATACAAATACAAATACAAATACAAATACAAATATAAATACAAGGACAGCTCATTTTGGTGCAGTGTACAAGAGATATATAGAATAGTTAAAGCTAAACGCCCAAAGCATGCACACCAGCACGGATCCCATGCACGCCCTGCACGACTGCTCCTCCCAGTCGCCGCCACTGCACAAGGGCCAGCGCGGCGGCGTCGCAGCCTCGCGTGCCGCCGCCGCCGCTGCGGATGAAATGTCCATGATCTGCGACGACAGCGATTTTGAGTCGACGGCCGCCGGCGGCAGCAGCAGCGGCGATAACAACAACAGCAGCGGCGGCACCGTCAACGGCAGCGCCGGCACCGGCGGCCCCTTGGTGAAGCCGCCGTACTCCTACATTGCTCTGATCACCATGGCCATACTTCAGTCGCCGCACAAGAAACTCACGCTCAGTGGAATATGTGATTTCATAATGTCCCGGTGAGTACACTCAGAAAAATTACAGTGCGAAATCTAGCTAAAATTAAGAAACTCGGTTTTTAAATGCAGATTCTATGAAATATAAAAATAGAATAACAAATCGTAATTTTCTTGAAATGAAAAGAAACAACAAATTTAAGTAACAGTTTCTGTGCAACAGAATACTTTTTTCTAAAAAGTAAAAAATATTTCCTATGGTTCAGAGTTTATTCGAAAAAGAAGAAAATATTTTTACAAAATATAAAAATAATGTCAGAAATAAGAAAATGTATTCTCTTTAGAATCGATCCAAATGCAATTTTTAGATAAGATAACTGGAAATCGCATCCAAGATCTTGAATTTTTGATGAACTAAGTTTAGAATCGAGGAATGAATAAATCAGAATGATAAATAATGAATTAATATATAAATTTAATTTTTGTGATTCATCTTTACTCATTTTATTTTATTGTGTGGATTGATCAGCTAATACGAGAAAGTTTTCACCTATTTTCCGGTTGGATCTATTTGATAGTAGGTCAAATCTAATAACAGTTTATTTGCTTGAAATGTTTTTCACAAACTTAATTTGAACCCAACTTTCCGAAATTCTCAAACAATATTTTTCGTCAGGCTCGTTTCCTTCCGATCTTTTGTGTGATATGCCACATTTAATCCTTCCATTATTTAGCTGAGTTTCATCAAGAATATCTTTAAACTGAAAATTTAATATCAAGTGGAATAGACAAGCAGATTGCTATCGTTGTCTCGATCTTCTTTGAAATCTTATATATGAGATCTAAAATATAAACAATCTTTTACTCTAATATGACATTTCCCTTTGACTTTGCAGTTTTCCATACTACAAGGACAAGTTTCCCGCTTGGCAGAACTCCATTCGCCACAATCTCAGTCTGAACGATTGTTTTATCAAAGTGCCGCGCGAGCCGGGCAATCCGGGCAAGGGCAATTTTTGGACACTGGATCCCCTGGCGGAGGACATGTTCGACAATGGCAGCTTCCTGCGCCGACGGAAGCGGTACAAACGAGCGCCGGCCATGCAACGATTCTCGTTTCCCGCCGTCTTTGGGACGCTGTCGCCGTTCTGGATACGGAAGCCGGTGCCGCTGGTGCCGGTGCACTTCAATGTGCCCAACTTCAATGGGAATCGCGACTTTGATGTGATGCACACGCCCAGCGATGTGTTCGACACGGCGCTGCGTGTGGATAAAAAATTCAACTTCTTTGCCAATGCGGAGGCTTCATTCTATCAGAACAACAGCGAGAAGTTCGATCGCCTGTCGTTCATCAACCGCCGAACGGACGCCGTCGACGCACTGCCTCCAGCCAGCAGCGGCAGCGCCGCCGGCGATGCCAGCAGAGCCAACAAGTACAAAAATCCTTATGCGTTCGATGTATCCGCCGCCGCTGCGGCTGGCCTTGGAGCCGCGGAATATGCCGAGCGAGCCAACTATACGGATCTCAATGTGTACAATGATGATGTGGATGGGGATGGGGACGATACCTCGTGCGATAAAATTGATGTGGAAAGCGCCAATGAGCATGAGCAGGACTCGCATATATCGGACTCCGTGGATTCGGTGTGCACAAATCCGAATCGTTTAGATGTGGCCACAGAGGCCATCACACGCGATCCAGACCCCGAGCCGGAGCGCAATTCGCCCTATGCGATGCTCTTCGATCAGGCGGAGGCATCCAACAGTTCGCTCGCGATTACGTCCAGTCCCAAGGTGGCCACGCACAGGAACACACTTACCAGGACGACCTTGCTGCAGATGAACAGCGAGCCCGCCAATCTGAGATGCGCCAGGCAGACCATTGCCAAGGACTTTCGCATCGAGACGCTCATCGGACACGGGCACAGCGATGGGGCGGCCAGTGATTAGTGATCCAACCGGGACGGAACGGAACCATCTGCTTGTGTAAAATATATTCCAGTGATTTCAGTTAAAGATTACGATCTAAGCATATTTTAACACTTCGTCTGAACGTTGTAAACATTAGCTGTAGTTTGCGGTATACACGGAATGCATCTAGACTCATGTACTCCTCCCTCCACACATCCGACAGCGTGTACACTGAAAAAAACTTTAGCTACATTTTAGAAAATCACCAAAAATTAATACAGTTTTTTCTCTATTTAAAGAAAGAGATCTGTTTGGACGATTTCGAAAACAATTTTAATTTATGGCGATTTTCTAATATTGAGTGGGAATAGTTTTGAAGTGTAGATGCATATTCGAGATACTTTTATGCCAGCACAAAATTTTAATGCGACCAAAAAAAAAAAACAAAATGAGAGTACACTTGTATTGTATAAAATATAGTACATACATATGCATTATGCCCGAGTGTAAGATCCAACAGGAACAAGCATACATACACATATACATATATATATAAAGAAATTACATATTTATAGCATACTTTTACTATATAGTATATATAGCATATGTGAATATATGTGTGTCAACTCTGCCTGTGTGTGTGTGTGTGTATGTGTGTGTGTGTAACTATATCGTATCTAATGCCAAGGCGCTCAGCACATAAAACACTATTAACTATAGAGTAGATTCTAAGAAATTTGCTGATGTTATTGAAAATTTAATAAAATGTATAATTAGAAAACGAGTATTTTTCATTTTCAACCGAATTGTAAGTTTTGTTAAGCATAAGAGTAAGTGGAATTCCTAATGCTTAAAGGGTATGATAATCTGATACTTCCTTCCATTAAAGTCCAGACAGTTTCCGAAGTAAGAAAGTTGTCGGACGAAAAAATGGTATAAAATTAGCTGGTGATCTACAGTTGCCTACACTTAAATTTATTTAAATTCGAATTATTTTTTCTACATGTTTTATTTGTCTTATATTTTTAAGATTTTTAATTGGTTAGCAAATAACTAAAAGGTTTTATTTAATTGGATTTATGTCTTGCTTCTATTTAATCCACCAAATAACAGAGATTAGATTAATATAAATTTGTGTGTTAGGATTTGAACTAGCACAATTACAAATTAACGAGTATTAGTTTATGCTCAGCGTCAGGCTGGCTTTTAAATTAAATATTCAACAGGTTATTTACAAAATATGAGTTTTAACAAGAAGTTTTATAAGGCACCAAAATGTCAGTTCTTATATTTTAATAAGAGCTTAAAATTGGCAATTCGTCTATTAACTTTCATTTCTAATATTTGTTTTCATGTCACATAAAAAGGGTTTTAGTTAATATGCCGCTTTAAACTAGGGCTTCTCTCCTATTTTTCATAGTGAAAGTAGCTTGCTTTGAGAGTTGGCTTTTGCAAAGTTGGAAGACTGAAATAACTATTATGATATCTATTTGTAGTCAAGTACGATTTAAGCCCGTTTTCAAGAATTTTAAGCTTGCTTCACTCCCAAAATTTTCATACTTTAGTTTAGAGAATCAAGTTCAAAAGTTAGCGCGTCGTTGTTCTCTCACATAAATATTTTAATTATCACATAATATTCAAAACGCTATTTATCAATTCTTTAAAAACACAATAACAATAAGAAATTAGCAATGAATTTACAAATATTACTACTCTTAACTCTACCCTTCCAATTCCTTACAAAAACGTTTGTTCACAAATTCAGCCCCAATAAGTAGGCAATATGCACACTTCTGTTAACCCATTGTTAGTTAAATGTGTGTAACATGCGGCATGGTTAAGCGTTAATTAAGCAAATAAGTTAGCCAGCAATTAACTGTGAACTCTGCCTTGACACTTGCAACAAGTTCAACGTTGTCAAGCCCGAGTTCTCTTTGGCAGGCAACTCTCCGAATTGCTGACATTTAACCAACTGTCAAAGGGAAATGTCAGCAGCTGTCAAAAATGTGACGCATGCGCCAACGCGTTGGCGCTCAGCTGATTGCGGCACTTGTGCAGGACGAAAAAGGACGACGCGTTGACGTTGAGTATGCGTCAGAGAGGCGAAAGCTCGCGGTTTGCCAAAAGCTCGCCGTCTGTGTGTGCAGTGCTCTGTAGTTTTTTTAGTAGCGTGCTATTCCAGTGTTAAAACATTAAAAGCTAGGCTGGAAAAAGGACAACAGTTAAATAGAAGATACCAACACTATTGGTATCCAGCGGTACGGAGCTGCAAACTCCATTTGGCATAATTCCCCCCACACACACACACACACACACACAGTCGAACACACAGCAAAAAGTCGATTTTTCACCAACATAAAGTTGTATATGCGCAAAACTTTCAATTGCTGTGCATCGAAAATAGAATCGAAAATTAAATAATACAAACTGCGGTGGTTATAAGCTAAAGTATTCGCGTGTGATATTGAAGGAGTGCAGCATTTCGATTTTAATTCCCATTCGGCTAATCGGAATGCTGAGCTCATCGTAGAGCGCAGAAAAGTGGAGATACGAAACTTTCAACCCCCCGAACGCCCGCCCGACCGCCCGCTAGCCGCAAAAACAAAACCCAGTGTCGCGAGTCCCGGGGTCCGCAGTTGACCTCTTCCTGTGTGATGTTATGTTTATGCTAATGAGAAAGTTGATGAGTCGTGTGACCAAGCGCCTGAAAGGCTGTTGAGCAATGCACAGCGGAGCCGGAGACCGAACCAATAGACAGCCTTAGCCTGAGCCTGAGCCGAATCCTGCCACGAATTGCGTCCGCGGGCTGAGGTGTTTCATTGAGCGACACAGCGTGCCGGATAACGATAAGCAACAGCTACGGCTGCAACAAAAACGGCGACAACAACAACAACAACGAGGACGACGACCACGACCAGGTCGACGACTAGAACGCGCACATGGCTAGCTGGAGCTGGAGCATCTTGTGCGCAACGCTGCTCGCCGGCCTCACGTTACTCACGGGTATGTATACCGGGATAGTTAACCTAACAGCTCATCCTAATCCTTGTTGACCCCACACAGTGACCCATACGGTGCGCATTACCAATCTCCGTGTGCCGCACACTTACACACTCGAACGTGATAATGAGCCCGATCCTCTGGTGTTGGACTGCGAGTACGAGATGGGGCCGCGGGAGAAGGGCTTTGTGCTCAAGTGGCTGTTCAACAATCATTCCATCTATCAGTGGATACCCTCCGTAAAGGGTTTCGCCATGGTGAGTCATAGTCAGCGACGTCCATCCCCCCATTGACGGAGGGCAAGAGTCAAGCACAGAAGGCAAAAAATTAATTAACATAAATTTCGCTTTCTTCTTGTGCTTCTTCTTTGTTTCTACTATTGTTCTTGCTGTTATTGCTGTTGTTGCTGGGACTCTTGTAGGGCTTCATGAAGGCAAAGATAGACACCAAAATATTCAGCATGGAGGGCAGTCCCGGTGTTATATCGATAAAGAATCCCGACTGGAACATGACGGGGGAATACACCTGTGCCGTGCAAACCTTTGAGTCCACGGATAAGCGAAGTGCCCGCTTACAAATAATCGGTATGTGAAAGGGGTCCACAATTTACATATACCCATTGTTTTGCTTTTTATCCCATATACCCTACAAAAAAGAAGGTTTAATTAATATGCATTATAATATGTCAAAGAGGCGGCCTTATACTCTCGGATATAGCTTTTACTTATTATGTATAGTTAGATTGTTGACAAAAATTGATCATTTTATAGTACTTTACATAATTTTGAATCAGAAGAGAATCAAGCTCAGCTGTTCCATTTTTATTTGATGTAATTTTAGGAACTTCTTGTTATCTCGAGAAAAGTGAGTTATATTTAAAGCCCAACTTCTGAATGTTAGCCTAATTTGATATATAAATATTGATATCATAGCTTAGGATTCTTCCGGCCGAGTAACTGTAATGTGTAGGGCATAGAATGCGTCGGCTATGCCAAGCTATTGCCTCTTCCTCACCTGTTTATGGCGTGAAGTTGTTTGCATAGGTGTTGGGTAGGTGCCATATGTGGGTGGGCATGTGTGTGTGTGTGTGTGAGGGTGTATGTTTGTGGCACGTGCGACTCAAATTTGCATGCGTGTCATGTGGCAGTCGCTGCGGTTACAGAACGCCCAGCCAGCAGCCAAGCGCCGCCTCTTGTTTTTGTTTGTATTTTTTTTTTGTTTGGTGTCTATTTCGAAAGTTTTGTTTTTGTTTTTGTTTTTGTTTAGTTTGACACTTGATTAATTCTCACGGTTTTTTGCCCTGTATCCAATGACCCACACGTCACCGTCGATTGACAATCCCCATACCGAAACTAAACCAATCCGCGCAAACAGTTCCTGAGTCGGATTTCATGCTGGAGGCACGCATGGGTGGCGAACAGACAGATGTGGACATAATGTGCGCGGTGCAGAACGTATTTCCACAGCCGGTTTTATCGGTCATGTAAGTAAAGCTCAACCATGTTCGACAATTGAAAGTTCTGACCCTGGACAAATTGTAGCTTTGATACACACATACTGGACTCGGTGCTGACGCAGTTGGATCAGAACCCGAGCGGCCTGTACAGCATGACAGTGCGGACGCGCATTCCTAGAGATCAGCTCGAATCACCGACACCGATAACATGTGCGTTTTTCCTGCTTGGCACAAACTATACCAAACGCAGGGAGACTATTTTCTATGGTAAGTAGAGGTAAGCGGGATGGCGGGCGGCCGGGCGGCCGGGCAGGCGGGCGGGCGAGCCCTGGCCGGGAACAGTTGCTAATCGAACCTTGTTCTGGGCCCCATTGCAGATAAAGCCACAAATATACAACGCAAATGGACAACAGTCGCCGTAGTTATGTCGATCGCATCTTTAGCTTTAAGCAGTTAGTTTGATAGTGTTTTTTGTAGGCTATGTACGTACGATTTGTTTTTATGTTCGTATAGAATGTTTACAATTTTTCATTTTTAAATAGAATTTTAAACGATAAACGTAATTTTTTGCGGTATTTTTAAAAAAGCGCTTATTTTGTAAATGCATGTAAATGTAAGAGAAATGAAATGACTCACACACACACACACTCCCACACTCACACACACACACATACAGTTAAAAATGAATAAAAAAAGTGAAACATACAACAAGAAACACTAAACAAAACAGCAAAACAAGCAGAAACAAACAACAAATAACAACAACAAAACTAAAACAAATTAATGTATTCATATATTTACCACATAAATAAAAAAAATATATATATAAATAGTTATGTATGATGTATAGGTCTAATTGAGTACAGAAACGCTAATAAAAAACGAAAACATTAAAAGTGCATTAAATAAATCTTTAGCGATTGTTTTTATGTTGTTCTATTCGAATATTAAGTATACGTTAACATTTGGCTAAATTGATTGCTTGTTTAATAA